GTGATTAAGATAACAGTCCCGCACAGGGCTCTAGTTTATATGATGCTTATAGACAGTCTGTCTTTATAACAGTCTGCTGCCAGTTCACAGGCTGAGGAACAATGTCTGCCTCAATCATCTGTGCAAAGAAATGAAGAAAGAGTTTAAAGGATAACTTTGGTATTTGATGTCAACCTGGACAGTATTTGGAGTGCAGCCAGCAGACACATAACTGGCAACATTATAACAAGCATTTAACCTTTTTTGTTCAACCATAAACAGCAGTTCTACCGCTGTGTTCAAACAACCAGACTCCACTGACGAAAATGGTAAGTTTACTTCCTACCTACTATAACTAGATGTACATGGCTGCAGCATCCTCTCTCAATACTAGACCAATTTCAAAAACAATTCTCCCTATATCCCATTATGAGATGGGAAAACAGGGTCCAGGTTGAAAAATACAGAAGGAACCCTTTAAGTAAGGTGCTGTCCTACTACTGATTTTTGAATTCAGCACCCATCTATACATACAGGGAGTTCACAATGACACTGACTCATTATCTATTCATAAGCTCTGTTAACCAAAACTGAGGTTAAGGTCTCATACAGACAGGCAGTTCATTTCAACAAACTTCATCCTGGTTGCACAAATCCGTCTGCTTGACATTAAAGATAATCTGAAATTGGCACAAAGACATGATGGTGGGTTTGATGGTACCAAGTGAGTCAACAGGAAGAAAAACTGGTCATTATGGTTGGAGCTTTGGTTAATGTCTCTTCCGATGAGATAATGGAGAATTACGTTTACTCTTCCATTGAGCTGCATTTTAATCTCTCAGCATCAGACTTGACTACAGGACCAGCACCGTCTTCTTGCTCTTGCTTTTGTAAACAAATATCCCAGAGACATTTGTCCTGCTGTGGAAACTTTGCAGGGGCAGAGAATTAAAGAAGCCTGATTAAAGTCATGCAGAAGCTGAATGGCAGCTGGTGATTTTTTTCTTTTAAACTGGAAACATTAAACTGGAGAAGGAGATGCTTTTCCTCAGTCAACAATCTTTTATTCAATTAATCAATTAGTCTGTTAACAGAAGACTGATCATCAGCAGTTTTTATTATCTAATTCAATAACCAGGCAAAAATGTAAAAGTTTGTTTATTTCTGTTATTTCCTCTGTAAATTGAATATTTTTGGGTTTTAGGCTGTGGGTCAGGCAAAACAAAATATTTGAACGTGTAACCTTGAGGTCTGGGGAACTGGGATGTTCATTTTTTGAAATTTTCCAACATTTTACTAAACAATGAATCAAACGTTGTCACAATCGTTAGCTTTAACCCTAAGAAGGACAAAAATGTCAGTACGAGTTTGGTACATGTGCCGACATATAACATGTTTGGTTTGAATCCAGCTCATACATACTGTGCTGCATGCCAACTCACAGCCATATTTCCCATCCCTCTACTCTGCCAAAACACCCCAAAAATAATCTTTTGAAATTAATTTGAAAAACATATATTGTCATATTTTAGGACCAAACAACTGTGTGTGGTTTTATAATTTACTGATGTCTGCGAGGGACTAACCTCTGATCCCACTGCTGCCATTTGTAATTTATTTACTGACAAAACAGTGAGCCAGCATTTAATTTTACTTCAATAATCCCCCAAAATATAACAAAAGCCCTGTTCCCCAGTGAGGGGGGGGATTACCAAACCTCAACTGTCCAGAGGAGAAACCCAAAAGACACAAAAATCACTAAATCCACCCTGTCTGCCTCCTTAAAAACACTGTTTAAAACACAGCGAAAAATCAGGTATGATGGTGTAACATCACCACTACAGTTAAAACACACAATGTTTGGATTAACAGGGAGTGAGGGGGGTTGACTGTACCTTCTGAGACGTAGGAAAACGGTTTGTTCCTGACCGACAGCAGAGTCAACAGGTTGAAGAACAGAGCGACGAACGTCCCGACCAACAGACGACCACTGCAGAGAGACACAGAGCATGACTGTAATAATACACTGCAATCACCAATGGAGAAATATTTAACACACTGTTTTAACAGGGTTGTCTAACAGTTAGCAGCTGGATCAAACCTACTGTGAACATATGGTGTACTTTTTTTTTTTAATTTAAGACAACTTTAGTGTGGAGACATGAGTGCAGTGCATTGTGGGACAATCTACCTTTATGGTACCTATGGAGTACTGCAGGAATGACGTATATGACCCCAAACTTTTTTCATGTGCAGGTGGAGCCAATAAATAATGATTATTTTGTTCTTGATTAATTGATGAGTTAATTCATTAATCCATTATCACTATAGCTGGATATTAATTTAATAGCTGACAATTAATGGATTAATCAACTAATCTTTGCAGCTCTACGCTCAGGGAGAAGACATCTGGGGTCCAAGACAAAGGGGTCCAGCACTCAAAAAAGGCTCAGAACCACCGATGGGATTGTTTCTAGTTCCTTTCAGTATATAAAACACTTTGAGGGCAGAAAACATTTGTCTTCTGTGTTATTTGTAATTTATATTTATGGGTTATAACGTTTAAATAACCGAAAACACTTATAATAAACCAAACAAACCCGGCTCGAAGGAAAAACAAACAATACAGGCACACAGAGCACACAACTGTACTCTTCAATACACTAATCACATGGGACAATCCATTTAAGAGCCTAAAATTGGTCCAAACAATCAGTGGGAGGCGAAGGGCTGCCCGACAGTGAGCCACAATAACTGGATGATAAACCCCCCCAAACCCCAACGCACCTCCCTCTAAGAACAGATTAAAGAGAGAGAGTGTGTGTGCGTCTGTCTCTCTACTCAGCAGACACCTGTCCCTCCGGTTAGCGGCCGTCTCTCATGCCGTCCAATCGCATCCACTCAGAGAAAAAGAGAGTGAGCGCGAAAGACAAGAGGGGAGTGGGGGGGGTAATCTCGTCACAGGAGACAGGTTTAAGTCTCGCTGTGTTTTAGGTTATAAAAGCCGCCACTAATCTGTTTTATTATGGAGAGATGATGGACGGAGGAGGGAGGGAGAGAGAGAGA